TCCATTCTTGCTCAAATTTCTCGGTGATGATCTTTGCCTGCCGAGCATTATTCATGACATAGAGATCATCTTTCTGCAACGGTCGTTTGTATCCAAGTTTCAGAAGGCCTCCTACCCAATGAAACGTTATTCTCGAAAATACATTTGCATATACCTCTGGTAAAACGTTGACCGGTTCTGGTGGGGTTTGTTCCGTTGCTTTCCAAATCATTTTTATCATATTTAGTTGGGAATTTTACTTCACTCCCAAAACTAAACGTTGAAGCACGCGGTTCATTAGCCGTGTATTACCATGCTAAGCAAAGAGGATTTGTCGTATGGAAATGAATCGAGTCCGCGGGTAGCATTGTGGCGAAAAGGCTTTGATCAAAGGGATCCTAAAATTGACAAGAGCTACCAGGGGCTGTTGAATAGTTTTTATAAAGCCACAATACAAGCATTCGTGTAAATATTTATATAAATATATATACATATACATAGCAAAGCAAGATACGAGTAATACGTAGAAGGATCATTATGAAAGCTCCATTCACTCTTATTTTGTTTATTATACTAATTAATAACCTTTTGGAAAGTGTGGCCTATCCTTCTTACATGAAGGGAGAAAAAAAGGGCAAATTTTTACACATTACTGGTACCAAAGCCATTTAATAATGCATTACATATCGAAGTACTATAAATTGTACTATACGTATTCACATCTAAATAATACAGCTCTTTCTGTTATTTCAAGACATCCATATTGATCCCCTATACCTGTCTAAAAGTGATCCCCAAGAATCGTGTCACCGTAAAAATGAAAGCGATTCTTCGGCAAATACGGCCGGAACATTTGGGACCCTTCTTTCTTATTGTGATACTCCCTACACGTTAACCAACGTCACCTTTTCATTCTTAAAATCAAACATCAGTGATATCGATTTTATAATTTATACTGGTGACTTTGTTAGGCACGATCGTGACAAATTGATTCCAAGAACCAAAGAGGAAGTTATTCTCGGATATGAGATTGTTGTAAAATATTTTAGTGAGGCCTACGACTTG